GAGAATCTCAAGGGAAGTGCTTGGAGAGTCGAAAGGAACGGAACCCAGCTCTAGGGAAACTTGGTGGTGGAGAGAAGAGGTTCAAGCGGTAATTAAGGCAAAAAAAGAGTGCTTTAAAAAGTGACAGAAGGATAGAACTGAGGAAAACCTTAAGAGCTATAGATTGGCTAATAAGGAGGTCAAGAAAGTAGTGAGAGAGACTAAGTTGAAAGCTTATGATGACCTATACACTAGACTAGATAGTAAGGAGGGAGAGAAGAGGGTATACAAACTTGCTAAGATACAGGAGAGGAAAACAAGAGATTTTAATCAAGTAAAGTGCATCAAGAGTGAGGATTCTAAGGTATTGGTGAAGGATGATGAGATTAAGGAAAGATGGAAGAATTATTTTGAGAAACTGTTAAATGAGGAACATGGAAGTACGACAATAGGGGAAGAAATAGCCAGTAATACGATAAACCAAGACTATAGGTTCTATCGCAGGATTAGGAATTTTGAAGTGGAGATTGCACTTAAGAAGATGAAATCAAATAAGACTTTATGACTCGATGATATCCCTATTGAAGCTTGGAAGTGTTTGGGTAAAAAGGGAGTTGCTTGGTTGACTAAGTTGTTTAGCAAAATTTTGTTGACTAGGAACATGCCAGATGAGTGGAAGAAGAGTATTTTAGTGCCAATCTATAAGAATAAAGGTGATGTCCAGAATTGTAACAACTATAGAGGAATCAAGCTAATGTGTCATATAATGAAAGTGTGGGAGAGAGTGATGGAACGCCGATTGCGAGACATAACAGAGGTGTCAGAGAATCAATTTGGGTTTATGCCTAGTAGGTCAACAATGGAAGCGATCTATCTTTTGAGGAGAGTAATAGAAAAGTATAAAGAAAAGAAAAGAAAAGAAATATTCATATGGTGTTTATCGACCTTGAGAAAGCATATGACAGAGTGCCCCGAGATATAATATGGTGGGTGTTAGAGAAGAAAGGGGTGACAAAAGGCTACATTGACGTGATTAGGGACATGTATGAAGGGGTGGTGACCACTATTAGATCGCCAGCTGGAGAGACAAATGGATTTCCTATCACTGTAGGGTTACACCAAGAATCTACCTTAAATCCTTATCTTTTTGCTTTAGTTATGGACGGGTTGACGATAAATATTCAGGATGACGTGCCATGGTGTATGCTTTTTGCAGATGATATTGTGTTAGTGGATGAGACTAGAGAAGGAGTTAACATAAAGTTGGAAATTTGGAGAAAAGCTCTTGAATCTAAAGGATTCCAGATAAGCAGAACTAAGACAGAATACATGGAGTGTAAATTTAGTAACAGTAACAATGAAAGCAGGGGAGAAGTGAAGATTGAGAATCAAGAACTGCCTAAAAGTGAACATTTTCGTTATTTATGATCGATTATCATAACAGCAGGAGAGATTGATACAGATGTGGCCCATAGGATTAAGGCGGGATGGTGTAAGTGGAGAAGTGCGTCTGGGGTATTGTGCGATAAACGAATACCCACTAGACTAAAAGGTAAGTTTTATAAAACGGCTATTAGACCAGCTATGTTATATGAGACGGAGTGTTGGGCAACCAAGAAATAACATGTAGATAAGATGAGTGTGGCTGAGATAAGGATGCTAAGGTGGATGTGTGGTAAGACTAGACAAGACAGGATTAAGAATAAGTGTATTCGGGAATGGGTAGGAGTAGCATCGATAGAAGATAAGTTAAGAGAGAATCGTTTGAGATGGTTTGGTCATATTCAACTGAGACCAACAGAGGCAGTAGTGAAAAGATACGATACTGTAACGGTAGATGGAAGTGTTAGGGGACGGGGTAAACCTAGATTAACGTTGACTAGCGTTATAAATAGAGATATGAATCTATTTAATTTGACTAATAAAATGACCTTTAATAGGGCCGTGTGGAGAAGAAGGATTTATGTAGTCGACCCCATTTGATGGGACTTAAGGCTTGGTTTGGTTTGGTTTGGTTTGGTTTAGGTAATGATGCCGTTACATAACTTTCACTTTCTGTAGAGAAATTGGAAATGGAAAACGGACTTCCAAGTTTATGCCTCTACAGACTTCCATTATTTGGCTTGTCAGCTTGAATGCATCATTTTTCTTAGTCTTGTGGTCATTTGAGCTGTGCTTTGTTTATTGTAGGTTGAAATTGCATGCAATAAGGTGATCAATCTTTCCGGACAACATTTATGCTTTGTTTTTACGTAAAATTCATTGTTACAACATTGTAGCTCTCTTCCTGGTGATTTAATGAGGAGTATTGTATGTCTTCTATTTTATGCCCTACATTCTTGATGCAACATGCACCAGGCAAATTTTACTTGATTACCTAGTAAGAAGAATGACTTTCCATAATTTCATGTACTGTTTTCTTTCTGAAAAAGGAAACTTGATACCTGTATGTATAGAAACAAAAAGATAGAAGGAAGTAAAAGATTGTTGACCTCTAATCAACTCAATCCAACTCAACAAGCCTTTTTTGTGCAATTGCTTGGGATTAAATGGATCCATTTCTTCAGTTGATTCTATTTGAAGTCATATCCTTAATTAAGTTAAAGGTAATCATGTCCGTTCTATTATGATGGTTAATATATAGCCCAAAAAACACTGAAGCTATATCATGCATAGTTTGGTGGCTTGAAGTAATCAAACAAGCACTTGGAAAAGTTCTCTTTCTACCTCTTATTGCTGTGTTAATTCATTGTCTCAAATAGTCCACCTGCTTTGGTTCTTTGGTATGCCAGCACCCTTTTCTGGGCTGTATTCGGAATTTTGCTCTTAATTTTTAGATCAAGGGATAATGGATGCAGACATTTATTAGAAGTTTGATAACACACAGTAATAATAAAAGTTTGGCAGAATTTTTGGGTAGAATTTTTATAGCATTATTTCTTAATAGTCTTTTTTCTTGAGACTCAATTATGTATTTCTTTGTTTACTGGAGATTGGATGATCCTGTTGATGGCAGTTAGACTGGGAAAAAGAAAGGAATCTACTGGAATAAAATCAGCTAATATAAAGTTTCTGGATTTAATATAATTTAGTTGGTTTGAGTGCAAATCTTTCACTGTAGTAGAATATGACATGTTGAGTGTCTCTTTTTTGTTTTCCCCAATAAGTAACTCTATTATAGAAAAATTCAGAAGGGGTGCAGCCTTGTACACATTGAAGTCTTTGTTTGCTTTTCCTCCTCCCCATAGACTGTATCCTGTTAGGAGCCCAAGCAACATGCCAAAATGATCAGGTCTAGTGGAACCGGAGAGTAAGATTCTTATTATTTCTCATTAATTTTTCATGTTCTTGATGCTTTAGTATATTATTTTTTAGGATAAACTATCAATAGGTCCTAATAGTCGGACTTAATTCTTATCAAGTTCTATTAAAAATAAGTCTTGGTAAAATTATCGCTAAAAATATTTTTTGTGACAATTTTTTTATATATCGCTAAAAATTGACAGTTAGTAACCTTTTTTTGTTATGATTTTTATAAATTATCGCTAAAACTTACAATTAGTGACATTTTTTTATGATAATTTTTTTTCATACGACCTATTAGACAATAAGTCCACTTATTAGGGTCTACACGTAAATACCCCTAATTTTTACTGGTAGTTTCATAGGCCCTGACATTCTAAAATGTTTCTTTGTGTACAGGGTACCTTAATAGGTCAAGGTGTAGTGGAGCTTTGTGATAGAGGACTGCCTGTAAGAACCAGATTAATAGGAACTTCACTAGTTTACTATTTTCTTATTTATCTGTGATCTTCTGAGTCATCCTTATGTATTGCATTTTGAGTTTGCATTATATGCACCATTGTTTAATTGAAAATGCTGCTTTTAGTGGCAATAACACACAAAAGATAATTAATGCAGTAATCCAAATAGCTGAGACGGATTAACTATTTATTGTCTTACAGAGGGGATGGGTTGTTTAGCTTTCTGTTGCAATATTTTTTGCGTTGTTTTCTCACCTTAGTTGACATACATCCAAAGTCTAGACTGCTAGCACTTGTTCCAGCTAGATAGGGAGGATGATACGACTGCCCTCATCCCACTCAGACCTGTTTGAAGAGTTTGGAGGGTATCTGGACTTGGCGTTTACTTCTCATCTCATCTCTTATCCACTTATCTTATTCAATATTCACATCCCATCGTTCTTCACTTCAAATAAGCTACAATGGGAACTTTTGCTACCTTACTGTGCAAATGGTTATCTCCTATCCCCCCTGTAGTGATTTGGAAACAGATGAAGACTTAAAACGTTAGATCTCGTGAAATCTGGTTGCCCCTCATCTTTGAATTTAAAACTTAAAAAACTTTCTGAATTAATCCTCGGCTTTCAACAGTTACTATGGCCTTATCTTTTGCATGTAGCTTTCTCTAGTGACTTTCATTTTTATTGAAACAAGTGTGCATGTTTTTTGTTCAGTTGTTGAATTTAGGAGTTGTGTGGCTCATTACTCCATACTTCTTATTGTAACCTGGATCCTATTTGTTGCTGATGTAACTCGGTTGTTATGTTGGTGTATTATGCATTTGTCGTGTTAGGTTTATGAATTTTTCTGTAAATTGTAGATCATCCTTATTTTGATGCATTTGCTCCATTTATGTAAATTATTGTGCATTCTTTATTTTATACTCTGGTATAATTACTATGTTTGCTGTCATATCTGATTAAGGCTTGACTATCAGAATCATTGTTCCTCTCCAGAATATTGTTGGATATCTAGAAAAATGTAGCTTTCTCCCAATGCTTACTACTAACTCCCTCATCAGAGGAATTCAACTCTCAAGCAACAGTTCAGTAGGTTAAGGAACCTGGTACTTATCGGCAGAGTTTTACATCCTTCTAGATTGCTTGTCTTCATGTTCTTTGATATTTTATTGTCTCTTGGCTACTGCGCAACTTGCACAGAGTTTGATATTGCAGCATGCTTATATCCATTCTCCATATTATCTTTGTATATCAACAGTTTGAAAACAATACTGTGTTAGTGCCAAAGGAAACATCCTGGTTCGGGTTTTGTCCAGATGGGGCACTCAGACCAGTTTTGCCCCCCCAACAGGTATTTGTCTCCATTTTTGAAAAAACAAACAAACAAACAAATTGCTTATTACATATCTTAATTATCATCCACATAGGTAGAGCTCTCTGCTGAAGGTTGTAGTTGAACATGATCTATTTTGTGATCCGCCTAAGTTGCATTTCTTTAACAAGAACCAAGAACTTTAAACAAGAAGAGGAACAAGCCTTCTATTGGCATTACTTATCCTGCAATGATCAGGCAAATCATTTGATTAGCTCATCATGTTCAGCTTCTTACATTCAACTACTTCTGCTGCTTCTTGTCCATGGCTTGGAGATTTTGTTAAATTACTAACCTAACCTGAACCACTTTAGTTAGAATCAATTCATTCTACAAAGAGAAATTGCTGTAGGGTAGTTTGAAGAAAAACAAAACTCTGAATATCATTGATTAGAATCTTTGATGTCCTGCATAACTATCCTGACATTCAAATCTGTGCGAAAAGTGTGGTATAAGCAGAGCTATGAGACAGCCAACAGCAGCTGTGCAATCAACTAAAGCTCCCTACTTGCTGCCCAAAGCCTTAATGTGAGCATTGCACTAGTGCTTAACGTTTAACCCTTTTTATTCTCCTTTCTGCAGACAAAGCTTTACATTGAGGACTGGATTGGCTTGAAGAACTTGGAAAGAGCTGGGAAAGTCAAGTACATCAGTGTGCCCTGAAATCATATTAAAAGCTCCAAAAATGATATGATAAAAGCATATCAAAGAGGGTCGACGAGGTTCAAAAGTTCAGTAAACAAAGGTTGTGGGTCGTACACATCAGCTGAAGTGATAATTGAAGGATCAACATCTTTATGCATGTTCTTTTTTTTCATAATTTTTTTTGGGTTCTGCAAGAGGGTAGATTACCACATATACATTCTTCATTTCTCTTTCATTTAAATTATTATGGGGAGTTATTATACACATCAATTTGAAATTTTAATTATCTGCCTGCTGTTCAGTAGTTGTGCTTCCGTGCCTCTAGTTGGTTTAGCTCCATGATTTTTTTTTTTTTTCTTTGAGAAAATTATCACAGCCTGATTTATTTATTTTAATACTCTATATTTAGTTTCAAGGCTTTTGGGTTCTGTGTTTTTCAAATGAACATGTCATTACTATGACGCAGGTATGAGATATAATTAGAATTTTCTTTTCAACTACCATTTTTTTTTTTTTAATAATTATTTCCAGTAATTTTCTTTACTAGTAAATCATTTTGCTGCTCGAGTTATTTTAAATTTTTTATGTGCGATCCTTCAATTATTAAATTATCCATATTTCTGAGTTAGATAATTGTGTGGATTCAAAGTCTCAACCGTGGAAACAAACAAATGAGATAAAATTGCAATTAAAAAAAGGAGGCATAGCTATAACACAGAAGATAAAAAGGCACGTTCATAATAGATAATAGCAATATTCCATCATCAACAAAAGCATAGTCACCACGACAGACTCACTGCATAATAAACAACCAGCACATGAAAAGAAAGCTTGGGGTTGATCCCAAAAACACACACAAAGGGCTTAACAGAAGGGAAGCACAAAAGAAAAGAGAAAAAAAAACACAAATACTCGGGGCATTAAATTCAGTAGTAGATAAGATAAGAGGTGATGAATTCTCAAGCGATCTTGACCTCGATTGTCTTGGGCTTCTTGGGCTGAGGAGGAGGCAACTTCTCTACAGTCACAGTCAGCACACCGTCCTGACAAACAGCAGAGATGTCATCAGTATTAGCATTCTCAGGCAACACAAACTTCCTCATCAACTTCCCAACCCTCCTCTCCATCCTCACATACTTAGCCCCCTCTTTCTCCTCCTCTCGCTTCCTCTCTCCGCTGATAACAAGCACATTGTCGTCCTCCACCTGTACCTTAATGTCCCCTGACTTCAGCCCAGGCATGTCGATTATGAACACATACGAGTTCGGGTACTCCTTCACGTCCGCAGGTGTCGCCGCCATGGCCTTGGCATCGCGGACGTAGTTGCGCGACGGTGCGTTCACGTACTTGTCGGTGGCAGCTGCGTCGGCGGCTTCGGCTGCGGCAGCGACGTCCATCATGTGCTGGAGAGTGTGGAAGATTGGGGCGTCCATACCTACTAGCCTCAAATCCATTTTTTGACGAATCGGAATCGGAATCGGAATCGGAATCGGAATCAGAATCGGAATTGTGTCGAATTTTGCTTGGTGTCTTGCGTTGGATTGGTTGAATTATGGAGTGTGATATATATATTAGGGAAGGGAGGCGAAGGATTTGAAGTTTCTAGAGAGACTGAGAAGGGAATGGGCACAAGTTCTGGAAAGTTCTGTAATTTTCTTCTGAAAGTTCCGGAGAAATGAGGAAGGTAATGGTGGGACACGTTCCAGATGGTTTTGTTAAAGTTCTGGGCTGGGCTTCTCTAGTGGATTAGACTGGCCTAGTCTGGGCCATGGGTTTACAACATGCCAGCCCAACAATCTAACCAATAAACTAGACTGGCTCAGTCTCGACCCGTTGTCTACCACAATGCCTTATTGTACCCTTTTTGATAGGACTGTTGGGCTTGTTTAGTCAACTAGATAGGTTTATTATGGGCTTATGGACTTGTTGTCTATCACATATCCTAGTTTGATATGATATTTAAATTGTTGATATTTTAGAACTCAGTGCAAATCATATACAAATAAATAAATAAATTCAAATTGATCAGGTAATTATCGCCGTATGATTCAATAATATTTATTTTTAAAAAATAAACGACAAATATGATTAACAGATCTGTTTACCATTTATTTATTTTAAAACAAATACAATTAAATTATTTGGCTACGATTACAAATCAATTTAATTTTATTTATGAATGATTTGCCTACTTGAGCCTAGCCTGTGGAGGGTGAAGGCCCAAACTAAATCAGAGAGAATCTGCATTCATAAGAATTAGTTTATACATAACGTTATTCAATACCATTATAATTTTTTCATCCAATTCAATACCTAAAAAGAATTAAAAGAAAATTATGTATTGGATGTATTATTATAGGCAAGTGAAATAAGAAACAAATAAATCAAACATATATTGGCTATAATATTAGTTATCAAAGTCAATTTGGGAATAGACTCAATTCATAAGATGTGCAAGCTTCCTCAAGTATAACATCAATTTAATCATTGCATATTTAGTCCATCTTTTCTTTTCTTTTCTCCAAACTTGAATTGTAGCAACAAGTGATTAATATGGGGAAAAATTATATCTCAACCAATGCACCAACTATTTCATGAATGGAGTCTCAATGAATGAGACCAATTTTCTTACTAGCATTTGCAAGCAAACAATAGCATGGTAGTTTTGGAAACAAACACAATACAATGATAAATACTGATGCATCACTTACATATACAAAACTGAAGCCTTGGGACACAACCTTGTCAATACATTTTGCATAGGAAACTCTTTATTCGAGTAGGGCTATTTTTATTTTTAATGAAATCCGCACCAAGAGCATGAAAGATCAAATGTTGAGCTGGATTTCTTTAACTAAATTTGGACGTGCTCTTGGTTGTCCACTGTGTGGTTGATTTATGCCAAAGTTGAAGATCCTTTCCATGGCTTTATTTCTACTCCGTCGCTCTCCGAGCATTTTCATTATCAAGTGAACTGTGTGCACTAACAGAAGAAGTGCCATCACACTGCACCACACTATGACTGCAACTACAATTGTGCTAGTAAGTGACTTTCTGTATTTCTTTGGTGTAACCACGACAATAGAAAACGCATAAGTAAATGCCATGGATGAGATTGTCAACCACATGATCATTACCAGAGCCAACATAAACGACCTTTTCCTGAATGGCAATCCGCTAATAAGCAATAAGATTATGCTTAAAGACGAGACGAGCCCTATCGTATTAGCACGGAGGAAGTATGGGTATGAGTCTACATAATTGTAAGCCATTACAGCTTCCCCAGCTCTGTGTCCATTTGAATCGTCCTGCCAAACACCACCCGGAGGGCTCACCCCAGCTTGGAATGCCATTGTTGCAATAAGTGATGCCACAATCATTAATGCTTCTCTTTTCTTTGATATCCACTCACCCTGTACGAGATCCTTGGCTCTTTTAGCCTTAGCGTTTCGAAGGAAATCTTCAATGTTACCGTGCAAGCCTTCCGAATCTGCTCCATTTTGTGCTAGAAATAGAATGTCCATTGCCGTGTGGCCATAAGCATTTGTTGCATTTACATCTATTTTGGTATTCTGGAGCACATGTTTCACAATCTGCAATATTTATAGTTGTTCTTACCATTACATAAAAGAAATTGGGAAGAGATTAAAGCATATTCAGTTGATTATTTGGCCCATATGACTAATGTGTAGATTGATTTCACCATAGAATGTGTTTGCAATCCACTTGAAGGAATGTGGGTTCTATGCAAGAAGGTTGTCAAAATACTGATTGTATGTGTTTGGCTAACATATTATAAAAGTAATCCTAGATCTTAAAATGATGTATATTATATTTAAGTCATTAAGCAAGATGAATAGAAACTTAAACCATATATATATATATATATATGGGATGTGCAATGGGATGTGGGGTTACACACCTAACAGCTCCCAAACGGCATGTTTGATTGCAGGGATTAGAGTATGAAATTGAGATTATTAATCTGTAGACCTAATTATTTTATGTTTATTTTAACATTTTTGTTTAAGATTATTAATCTAATAGATAATTAATTTAATAAATTTATAAGATTATTAATAATGAGGTATTATAATTATTATTTTCAAATTCATTCCTAAATTTCACACAAACACAGCGTAAACACAGAGAGAGAGAGAGAGAATAGAATTGAAAAAAAAAAGTTACCTCAAATTGTTGACCCGAAACAGCTACGTGTAAAATGGTGTTACCATCATTATCCTTGGCATTAACAAACTCTGGATCTGGAATCTTGCAGCAGGAGGCTCAAAGTGTTTAACTGCTGGTGCTTGACACATAAATGTAAAATGGTCTCGCCTGAGTCCAGCCTTACTCGAGCTGCGTGGGGAATGGTCCCAACCAACACTTCCAAGGTTCTCCCATGGCCTTCCATGGCGGCGATATGAAGAGGATTTTTACCGTCTCGATCACGAGCTAGGCACATCTGACGACCCTCTCTTACTCTTACTAAAGCTTGCACAATATCAAAGTGGCCCTTAGTGGTTGCCAAGTGAAGGGCAGACCGATATCTCGAATCTAAAACTTCAACAAGCTCTGGTTTGAGATGCACAAGGCGTTGCACAAACTGTGTGCGGCCAAGTGTAGTAGCCACGTGGAGTGGATTTGGATTGATGCATCCTACCACTACTTTATCCAGAATAAGCTGGTCTGCTCCAATTATTTCATCCAATGATTCTACATTTCCATCAATTGCTGCTTCGCAGAGCCTCTGCTCCATCTCTCTTTTTTTCCTCTCAGGTCAACTCGATGCTATGTTTTTGTACCAAATGCTAAGTATTTATGAAGACTTAAACAGTGTGAACCACATAGTTTTAAGTATTAAAAAAGTTGAAGGCTTATATATATAATAATGAGTTGTTGATAAATATACACGAGGAAATGATATCCGAGGAAGGCATCTTCTTTTCCTCTCGCTTTCTCAATTATTTATGTAGGCATAGTTTGGGAAGTTGGTTTTGATGGGTTAGGGGTTAAAATAGTCACAAAAAAATAAAATAAGTTATTTTAATTACAAAAAATAAAATATCAAATTTAATCCATAATCATTATATTCATCTCTCATAAAAAAAGTAAAGTCAAAAAGTTCTTTCCAAATCAGATTTTTTAGCTTTAAGTTAAAATAGTTAAAAAAATTAAAAAGTCAAAAAGCCAACCCACTTAGGCTTATTGTTTTTTTTTAATCACTCTCTCCTATTCGGTTTGGTATAATTTATTATACCTTAAAAATTAATAAATTAAAAATTAAAATTAAAAATATTATATTTTAACTTTTAAATAATCAACTCTTCTCAACTTATTTAAATTATTTTTACTTAAAAAACTATAAACAAAAAGTACACCAAATAATTTAACACAAATTTTTAAATTAAACTTAGGCCTCGTTTGGGAACATGTTTTTTTAGTAACTTTTTGACTTTTTAATTAAAATATGATGTAAAAAAAACTAGTATATTTTGGATGATTTTTTTATTTTTTACGAAAAGATGTGCAAAAAATAGAGAGAAAAAGAGAATATTTGATTTTTTTATATAAATTTTTTACGAAAAGATGTGCAAAAAATAGAGAGAAAAAGAGAATATTTGATTTTTTTATATAAATTATTGACTTTTTAATTTTTTTTAATAATTTTTTAACTTTTTAACTAAAGAAATCACTTACCAAACGAGGCCTAAGTTATAACCACTCTTATAATCCACACCAAACATCATTTCCCCTGAGAGGCTTGGTTTGGAAAACATCAAACACCCTTTCCCACTCGGAGGCTTGGTTTGGAAATTTTTTTTTTTTTAAGTTGTCACATCATTCCTTTTTTTAAGTTGTCACATCATTTTTTTTTTAAAAAAAAATTATATTTTTTTATAAAAAATTATTAAAATAATATGCCCTCAAATAAGGTCTGAGTGCATGTATATATTTTTCGGCAAATATTAGAGTATTGTTATTTAAGATCAAAAATTAAAATAAATTTTTAAGTTTAGTATTGCGATAATCAATTACAATATTAAAGGTAATATTTTTCTCTCATATTTTTTTTAATACTAATTAATCATATCAATTACATATCATTAGGTTTAAAAATAAATTTTTATATCATTTTCTTTATACGTATTATATATGATGTATCACATATTTAAATTTGTGCAAGGAAAAGTACTAATTATCAATATTAAATAAAAATTGAAAGAGACCAAGTCATAATGAGTGTGTGCATTTTTATTACTAAGCGGCAAGTGGGTTTGTAGGTTTTTTTGATTATTTTAGTCAGAAAAAATAAAATAAGCTATTTTAGTCATAACAAACAAAACATCACATCCAACTCATAATCATTACATTCTTCTCTCACAAAAAAATTCAAAAAAGTCAAAAAATCAAAAAGTCCTTTCCAAACTAAGCTTTTAAGCCCAGGCTAAAATAGTCAAAAAAGCCAAAAAGCCAACCCACTTCCCAAACGGAGGCTAAATGGTTCCATTGGTGTGAATCTAACTTCTTCTCTTTTTTTTTTTTTATAGTATAATTATTATATTTTAAAAAAAGTTAATTTTTTAAAATTATCTTTTTGATAGTACATTTTTTTAAAATATCAATGTCATAATTGTACTTTTTATATTATTTATTAATTTAAAAAAAAGGTAAAATAGGAAATTTATATTATTTTTGTATATGATTTTTTAAAATGGATTAATATTTTGAGATAATGGAATATGAAATAGGGGACTAATATTTTGAGAAAGAAGAAGGAGTTAGCAAATGTAAACGTGAATTAGCCTTGGTTTGATTTTCATCTTTGACTATATAAGTATAAAAAGACAAAAAAAAATTATAAAATCACATAAAGACAAAAAAGTTGCAAAATGCCAAACTATCTCGTATACAAATAAAAAGTCAAAAAAGCATCATTCTATACTAAGGCACCGTTTTGGAAGAAGGTTTCTAGATTTTTTTGGTTATTTTAGCTACAAAAATCAAAATAGGCTATTTTAGCCACAACAAGCAAAACATCACATTTAACCCATAATCATTACACTACTCTCTCACAAAAAAATCAAAAAGTCAAAAAGTCATTTCTAAACCAAGCTTTTTAACCCAGGCTAAAATAGTCAAAAAATTAAAAAGTCAAAAAGCCAACTTACTTCCCAAACGGAGGCTAAGGGCAATTTTGTCATTCCGAAACCAAAAAGTTAAAAAAACCAAACAAAAATACCAAACAACTAAAAAAGTTCTAAATTTAAAAAGTCAAAAAAAGTGAAAAAGTCAATTAAAAAAAGTCATTATCAAATGACCACTAAGGCCAAGTTTGGGTAGTTGTAAAAAAGTCAAAAAGCTAAAAAGTTACTCAAAAAGTTAAAAAGTTAGCACTATTCACCAAAAGTCAACAATTACGGCTGCACAACTCCCAATTCAAATTTTTCCCTATAAATCAATTTTTACAATTTTTTATTACACATTTTTCTATAAAAAGTCAAAAAGTTAACCCAAACATCCATATTTTCAACCTCAATTTTTTAGTCCAAAAAGACAAAAAGTGCACTTATTTAGGACACTCCAAACAACCCCTAAGTGTTGGTTTATGATGTTATTGGTTTTTTTGATTTTTTGGTCATTTCAACTTTTAAAAAGGCTCGTTTGGAATAGGTTGTTTGATTTTTTTGATTTTTTTGAGAAAAAAATAAAATGATTATGGTTTGAATGTGACATTTTGCTTATTAGACTAAAAAATTTAATTTATTTTTTTGTAACTATTTTAATTAAAAAAATCACATTTTAACTTATGCTAAACAAAAATTTAAGAATTGTGGAGACTTACATATATAACAAGTTTTCACATTATGATGCAAGTTGATATTAAGGCCTCGTTTGAAAACATGTTATTTTAGTAATTTTTTGATTTTTTGGCTAAAATATGAGGTAAAAAAATTAGTATGTTTAGGGTGACTTTTTGACTTTTTACGAAAAAATGTGCAAAAAGTCAAAGAGTTGCAAAAAATAAAGAGAAAATGAACTTTTTGACTTTTTGGTATAGATTATAAACATTTTGATTTTTTTAATAACTTTTTTACTTTTAGGCTAAAACAATTACTTGCCAAACGAGGCCTAAATAATTGAAGACATATACAGATTATGGTAACAAGTTGATAGTTGATAGTGGATATGTGGGATATCTAGAATAACATCTCTTGTTAAATTAAAAACAAAAATACTTCAGAGCTTGAAAATGTTGAGGCTCAGTTGGCCCGAATTCAAAACAACGTCGTTTTGATTTTTTTTTTCCCCTCTCATCTCTTTTATTTGTTAAACAAAGAGAGGGAGGAAGAGAGAAAGAGAGAGGAAGGGAGAAGGAATGAAGAGAGAAGTGCCATCACCGATGCCACCACCGGCCATCCTCTACACACAGATCACACAGATCTATTGATCTGTATCTCTCTCTATCTCTCTTTGTTCTGTGTATTGATTTTTGGGTTTGATTTGTGGGTTTGATTTTTGTTTTGATTTGTGGGATTTTTGGGGTTGATTTGTATTGGGTTTGATTTTTGATGTTTGATTTTTTTTTTTCTTTTTCTCTCATCTCTTTTATTGATTTATATATGTAGGTCATCAGAGGTTGATTTTGTAGGTCATCACAATTTGATTCTGTAGTAATAAGAGCTTCAATAAAAATTATTCACTAAAATATACCAAACCAAACAACTACGTTTAGAATATCCTTCCTCTCCTCTCTCTTTTTTTTTTGTTTTTTTTTGTTTTTTGATTTTGTGGAAGAAGAAAAGAAAAGAAAAAAAACTAAGGAAAATCAAATACCCACAGAGGAGGAAGAAAGGGAAAAAAAAAATAAAAGTGTCAAAACGACATCGTTTTGACACCTCAAGCCATTTGAGCCTCGAAAGATTCAGGCTACCTAGCTGGACTGAATTAAAAATAGGGGTCATATTAAATCTATCTACATAAAATAAAAGAAATGTTATTTATCATTGTATTTGTTTTATTTTTTACATGTGTACATGTAATAAACGTCATGTATATATGTGAGGTCAATCATATTTAAAATCTAAACGTCATTGAAAATGAAGATTTTGATAAAATATTTTAGTAATATATAACAGTACACATAAAACAACTCCTATATATTGTTAAGAAAATATAAATTGTTAGACATCTTCACCTTAACTTCAGTTTTTTATTTCTTGGACAGAACAATTTTGTCTTGTTTGTCTTTGAAAAATTCATTTTTTTTACATTTTCTTGGCCATTTCTTTATAAAAGATATTAATATTGCATCTGAGTCATGATATATTGAGTTCATACTCAAAATCTTTTGCATTGAAGTACAAAGTATATGTATATATATATATATATTTATAATGATCCTTCATTTAAAATGCATAATGGCAGTTTGCATTCCAAATGTCCAATGCAAGAAAATGAATTCCTAGAGATAATTCTAGAAATTATTCTGTTTTTTTATTTTTAATTTGAATTTAAAATTTGGTGCAACATTTTTACATTGTAACCTTTTTACAAATTTATCCCATGAATATCCAATAAGAACAAAAAAATGATGCCATTTTTTTCTTTTTTTGTCAATTGGTACAAAATGGATAATATATATGGTAGTGCTACGTAGCTCGAAACCCATAGCTCGAGTTTGGCTCGACACCAAAACGACGTCGTTTGGGTGTCAATTTTGTCGATTTTTTTTTTCTTTTTTTCTTTTTTCCGTGTTTTTGTTGCAGAACGAAGAAGAAGGGAGAAGAAGAGAAGGGAGGAGGTAGAGGAGGAAGGAGGAAGGAGGAAGGAGGGGAGGGGGTCATAAAAATCGGCTGGAGGAGGAGGAG